AAGTTGTAACAAACAAAACCATAGTTTGGAGACAATTTTCTTATTGTTTTGTAAAGTTGTAGATAAAATAATTTTAAAGTTGTTATAAAAATTAGCTTTTTGGATTTTTTGTTTTTTGAAAGTAAAGAAAATGTAATGGCCAAATAAAAATTATGATTGGAATGAAAATTAAAATAATAAAAAAATTATCCCAAACAAAAACCGTGAAAGACAACAAAACGTTTGGAAAAAAAAAAAAAAAAAAACAGATTTGAAATTATGAAGTTGTAGCAGTACAATAATATTTTCCAGTAAGTAATTAAGCTTTTCAAAATATTTGAAAAATTAAGTACTTACAAATGACTTGAATTTATAGTAAATTATCAAGCCTGAGCTGAGCTTGGGCATTTAAACTTCTTCCCGGATAATTTTATTACTCTTTTCTAAAAAAAAAATTTAGTGCAAAAAATTACCTTAAATTTTTTTTTTTACTAAAAATGGCTTTCGATAGTAATAAGAAGCTTTTATCCTTGTGTGGTAGAATGTCCTAATTTAAAAATAATTAAAGTAAAGTTTAAAATTTTTAAACAAAATATTAATATTACAGTGATCTTATATGATATTACAAAAATTTAATACTTATTCTTCTTAACAATTTGATCAGAGTATGCTTAGAGGGCTATTGACAGCAGATAATGGTCGGAGCACCATGATCAAGCGATGACTATCAAAGGATTGTAGTGGAGCAATAATGATTGGAGGATGTAATCGGATGAAATTTAGTCATATGAATATAGTTTGATAATTGTAGTAATCGTACTCAAGAGATGATCATCGAAGGATCATAATAAGGTAATAGTGGTTAGAGGCAAGGACAGAACCAGTCTTAGTTCTCACAGGAGGAAAATGATTAAAAAATAAAAAATATATAAAAGACAAAATTTAAAAAAAAATTACATCTACATTAGCAATAATACATCACAAAAAAAAGCACATGCTAATAAAAAAATTACATTAAAATCTAAATTTAAATTAGCTTATAAGCCAAGAGCTCGAGCTCAAGCTCGTTTGTTAAACGAGATCGAGTTCGAGCTTGAAGAGGCTCGACTCATGAGCTCACGACCTTCAAATACCAATTAACAGAGCAGTTGTTGTCATTAATAAGTCTGGAAATTCATATAAGGCGGTGAGTAAGATGAGGAACGTGAAGTAAGGAAGAAAGGGAAAGCTTACGAAATGGAGTGGGTAGGAGGCCATTACCAAAATGTTGGATGGGTAGAGGTGTACCATTACCTACCAGCACTTGTTCTTTACCAGTAATAGGTTGCTACAGGGGAAGCGGATCTGGAGATAAGTGAGCGGTTGCACCGCTATCTAAATACCAAGGTACCGTATCAGAAGTTGAGCTGTTGGCAAGTAAAGTAACATCTGATGAAGAGCTGGGAGAAGAGTACTGAAAATTGCCTCTGTGCCAACAAGTCACGGCAGAATGTCCCGGTTTGCCGCAAATCTGGCAATGTCCATCAAAACGGGGTGTGCGAGGAGGACGATTGGAACTAGAGCCACGGCCGCGAGTTCTGGAGTTATTGAATCGTCCATGTCCTCTACCTCTGTTCGAAAACAGAGCAATTGTTGGATCAGTGGAGGGGGCGGCCGCCAGCGACAGTTCCTTGACGGCATCAGTGGTTTGCTGTACTTCTTCACTGCGTAGTAGTGAGTATAGGTTGTCTAAACTGATAGGGTGAAGAGAAGATCGTATATAAGTTTTGAAAGATTGGTAGGTAGAAGGCAATCCATTCAAAATGTAGTGTAGCACGTCTTCACTGTCGACAGATCCGCCGGCGACATCAATGTTATCAACAAGCGTTTTGACGGAAGCAAGATATTCGGTCATTGTTTTGTTTTGCATAGACAAAGAGTGAAATTCATTTTTCAACTGAATCACTCTTGATCCATTTTGTAGAGTAAAAACGCTGCTCGAGAGTCTTCCAGATGGAAGCGGTAGTGTCGAGGTTCAACACGTAGGGAAGAATATAAGTAGGGATCGTAGAGAATAGAGCGACGGATAGATTTTGATCTATCAAAGACCAGGAAGAAAATTTGGGATTGAGGGTAAGTTGGCCGGCAGCAGTGAGCAGATGTTTAGGAGGGCACGGCTGTGTTCCGTCCAAGTAACCGGAAAAACTATTGGCTGCGTATAACTTTTGGATAGCAGAGCGCCAAGTTGGGTAGTTATCTGGAAGGAGTTGAACGTTGATGACGTTCTTGATAATGGAGAGCAAAAATTTGAGGGTGGGTGGGATATGAACGTCTGTGCTGCTCGAGATCTCGTGTTGAGCTGGTTGTGGAGTAGACGCAGCAGAAACGGGCGTAGAGTCTCCCATTTTGGACGTGTAGAGGAGCCACTAGGCGATGGGCTCTGATACCATGAAGAGAGCTGGAGACCCGGCACAAGAACGAAAACGCAGAGGAGCTAAAGGAAGAAGACGACTCAGTTTTGGATAAAAGCCATATATGTTTATTGTAGCTAGTGTTGATATAAATACACAAGAGTAAGATGGCTAAAGTCTAAACTACCCTGGATAGTTACATAAAGCATAAAGTAAAAAGGTATGCGGCTGCTGGAGTAGAGGTTGGCAGCTTTCAGTTGCTGTTGCAGATGATAGTGGAGAGTGAGTTCGGCTTAACACCAATATTTTGTAGTTTCTAAATGCAGGCAAAGCCAAATCGCAATCCACAAAAAAAGACAGATGTAAATTGATGCTCACTAAGGCTTTCGTTTGGGGCGGCTTCGTACTACTTCTAAAAACAACTTTCTAGTAACAAAATAAGACTTTTATACTAAAATACTGCTTTAAGAAGCAACTAATAAATACATTGCTCTGTATAGACCAAATAAAATGGAAAATGTATTCAGATGTCATCAGATTCTGACCTAAAATCTTCACCTGGACCAAATTAGCTCATTCTCTTGTTGTTAATGAAAAATACATAAGGTTGATGAAATCCATGATGTTGCTGAAAATTGAGAGGTTGCAGAAACTAGTTTTGATCATCCAGGTGAAGTTAGGATGATTTCTCCATCCCTGAGATTTTTCTAACCATCATTTTCATGTTGTTAATGAAATATAGAAGGTTGGTGAAAAGCAGGATGTTGCTGAAAATTGAGAGGTTGATGAACCTAGTTCTGATTCTTTCAAGAGAAGATAGGATGATTTCACCAACCCTGATTCTTTCAGTTTGTCATAAATTGAGATGTTGATAAAGTAAGATAAGTGCATCCTTCAAAGAAACTTTACCCTCATTTTCTTGTTGTTAATGAAATACAAAAAGTTGATGAAATCCAGGATGTTGCTGAAATTGAGAGATTGCTGAACCCTGTTTAATTCTTTCAAGAGAAGTTATAGGCAATAGAGAATGGACTGTTAAGCTGCCAATTTGAATTCTCACAATTTGTAACTGAGCAAATGGATTATTAACTTGGCATTCATTGCATAAGTGACCACCGCAAAGTTTCACAACTCATCAAAGTAGTGTAAACTGTATCTACAGTAAACGGAATCAAATTTTTAGCTTATTCCAGGTTTTTTATATCCATTTCAAAATATAACATCTAAGTTAAGTTGTTTCATTTAAGGATAAATAGCATTGCATCAGCTCAGTAGTGCTGCTAAATCATTGAAGGGGAATTCTGAATCTGAACCGAAGGAACCAAACTAGATCAAGCTTTCTAAAAACAAAACAAATATAATATTCTAATCAATAAAACCCAAATTCGTATCATAGATTTCCTAAACCGTTTATAAAACTCAATAACCGAAAGCTTCATTTGTCCCACACAACAAGATCCAAGCAGATTCACATCACCAAATCCAAACAAATAAACAAACAAAAGATAAACGAGAAACAATACTTAAAAAAAAAAACACAACCAATGAATCGCGTCGTGGAATTCGCCTTATAAGGCAAGCTCTCGAAGTAGATCGAAGTGGCAGAGATCTTCTTCCCATCGGATGTGCAGTATCCATGAGTGAGATGGCCGCCTGAGGGCAGATCAAGCCCCATGATCCGATCATGTGGATTAAGTAGCACGGTATATGCTGCGAAATTAGTTGGGCTGCCTGAGTAGGGCTGGACGTTGACGCCCCATTTCTCCGACTCGAGATGGAAGGCTTCGAGAGCGCGGGATCGGCAAAGGTTCCGACTCGAGTGAAGATTCGCTTTTCTCCTCTCGATTGAAGCCGAACAGCACGATGAAGCTTCGCTTTTCTCCTCTCGATTGAAGCCCAACAGCAAGACGAAGGTTGGCGAAAACTCCAGAGCGATTGAAGCCGAACAGGACGACGTTGGCGAAGAAGCCTCTTCTCGATTGAAGCCGAACAGCACGACGCTTTTCTCCTCTCGATTGAAGCCGAACAGCACGACGAAGCTGCTTTTCTTCGGATGAATTTCTAACCCGCTCGTATCGAGCGGGTTTCTAATTCCCGCAAAACAGCCTCTTTAATACACTCTTAACGCATCCGATGAATACCTTTTGTTCTGCTCAAAATTAACCAAACATCTAAATTTAGTAAATACATGTAATTGATTTACTTTACACTCCTAATTCAGGCAACCAAACAGCCCCTTAAAGTTTTTAGTATGTTTTTCATTTACTTTCAGTTAAATTTATAACGTTCTAATACATTTTTGGGGTTTGTTTGGTTTAAACGGACTGAGATGTTAGTTGTGGAATCTGATTGTGTCGATTGATCAAGTTCTATTATTGACTCAGAACTCAATTTCGTCAGGAGAGTTTGTCCGAGGGTTGCAGGGGAGCCTTTCCTAAAAAATTATTTTTTCCATGCAGTCGTACATCACTGCAACGCTGTATAATCGTGCACTACAGCGTTGCAATCTCTGGTTGGAGATATAAGGCACAGCATTGTGGCGCTGTGGGTAAAGCGCTGCAGTGCCATGGTGCTCCAAACCCCAGCACTGCGAATTGGGTTGGGCAACTTTCTTTCTCATTTTTTATAAGGATGCAACCGTTAGAGCATCTCCAACGAAACTCCAAACCCTCTAATGCCGTCGCCTCAAAGCTCCAGCCGAACGGTAAAATTTCTGCTATTTCCTTGCGGGTGAACAGTGGGACGCCAATATTGACGTTGCACTGTTCATCACCGCTATTTTTCCGCCTATACCGAACTTTCTAAGAAACAGCGCGAAATAAAAAAAAGACCATTACCTTCGCAAAATGGAGTTCAATTGGAGATGAATCGCGGCATTTTTAGGTTTCACGGCATTTTGGAGTGAAAAATGTGATTTTCCGTTGGAGATGGTCTAAGGGTGGTTAATGCGTGTCTCTTTATCAGTTTTATATGAGAATTGTGTAAGGAGTGAAGATATACAAGAAGAGAGTGAGAAAGAAGACATATGTATAATTACTTGTATTTTCATAGTGAATTTTTTGGTGTGGTGTGGTTCCATTGTTTCTTTCTAGTTTCGTATTTTTCCATCTTAAATCTTATTGTTCTTTTGTTTTGCTGTATTTTCTCTTTCTTATTTGTTTCGCCATCATTTATTCCTAACATGGGAGAATGCAAATTTTGCTTTATTGTGTGTTTGGTTTCATTGTGATTAATAAGAAAAACAATAATCGCTATGATTCTCACAATCACCATTCACAAGAAACAAATTCAATTTCTCATCAACTAAAATAAGAAAAGAAAAATTTATATTTTTTGAGGAAAAAATATGTATATTTCTACTTCTTTTTCTAAACCAATTAAAGGAGATTTAATCAAGTTTAAATTCAATTCCTTAATTATTTCCATTTCCTTTAATATCATTCCTTCAAACCAAACAGATCCTAAGTCACCATTCTTCTCTTCCTTTGTTGCAGACGACGGCCAAGGCTCCCTACGTGATGGATGCCGGAAAAAGGAGCCTCTTTGGATTGTCTTTGAAGTGTCCGGGACGATTCACTTGTCCTCTTACTTGAGGGTGTCATCTTACAAGACAATTGATGGCCGGGGACAGAGGGTCAAGCTGACAGGGAAGGGCTTGCAGTTGAAGGAATGCGAGCATGTTATTGTGTGCAATCTTGAGTTTGAAGGTGGTAGAGGCCATGATGTTGATGGCATTCAGATAAAGCCCAAGTCTAGACATATTTGGATTGATCGGTGCAGCCTGCGTGATTATGATGATGGTTTGATTGATATCACACGGGAGAGCACTGACATTACTATCTCCAGGTAAAAACTGATTTTTTTTCTTTTTGCGTATTTTGAATCATTGAAACTACTAAGATTTCCTTGCTTTATTTTTTGAGCAATTTTTGTGGCAAAGCTAAAGTGCTAAACCTCTAGTATCTGCGTTTTCTATTTGGCTACTATATAATCTTCTTATATATACTGTTTATGCATCTCTACTGCCCACCAATGTGATAGACGCACCTCCAGTAATCTGATTTTAATCAGTTTAGTTTTCTTTTCATATTGCTTTTAACTCTTGTTTCTCATACAGTCTTTAACAATGCTTTTTACTCCCATAAAATCTATATATTTTCAGTGCGCTTTGTCATGAGGGATGTACAAGAGGACTGTGGTGTAAGAGGCAGTGGTATATATATATATATATATTAGAGATGATATCAACGTGTGGACACCTTGATTTCTTCTTCTCTCTTGTACACAGGGTGTGTACAAAAGAGAGTAAATGCAGACGTTTTCGTCTGATTGGAGTCTGGATAAAAAGTTGCGTCCGAATTCTGCACGTAATAATATCTCCAAAAATAGAGACTTGAATAGGTTAAAAGAGGCATTTCTGTGTAATCTTTCTGTTAGATATATTATAGAGATATTAAAATTGTGCAGGCCGGAATATGTGTAAATTGACATTTCTCTATAATATTTTGGATGATTTAAAGTTTCACAATCTTCGACAGCAGCGTTAGGAATTTCTCTTGCTTGAAATATCATGTATGATCTGATATAATACTATATAGTTCATTTACGAATCAGTTTGATGTTGTGTTGTAACTTGTAAAGCTACTTGAATCTCCAAATAAAAAATGTTTTTTTTTTCAAATAAAAAATATGGATTTATATATTATGGCCCGTTTGTTTTGGACTTAAGTTAAACTAAGCTAAATAAGCTAAACCTTTAAGCTACCGTAATCTGAGAAAATAACTTGGTTGCATTTCTGTCTTGAGCTTATTTGCTTAAGTCATCATGATCGCATAATTTAAAATTAAGCATGATTTGTTCTAAATAAATATTAATTAAATTTTAGCTATTATGGTTAACTTAGACTCCTGTAAGTTTTAAAACTATCTTAATTAATAGTCTTACTAATAATAGTTAATTTTTAATTATTTTAATTAATGATCTATTGATCTCATGGTTAATTGTTTTAATTTAAACATGATACAACTTTAATGATAAAAAAAATCTTTTTAATTAATTCACAATTAATCTAATTAAATAATTAATTATTGATTTATTGTTATTACTTATTTATCAATTATTCCTAGTTTGTTATAGTTAATACAAATAAATTATTAATGAACTTGAAAATTGATTAATTTTTAATTATTTTAAATAATTAAAATACTACTTCTAATGAATAAATCAAATAATTATCTATCCTATACTTGATTTTTGTAGTTTAATATTAATAACATTTTATTATTCTTAATAAAATTCCATCTGAAATAGGTTTCTTAAGCTTAATCTTGGGTAGCGCTGTGCTTAGTTTATCTCACTCTTTAGCCAGCCCTTGAATTAAGCCGAGCTTAAGCAGATTATGCTGAAGAAAACTTCTAAAAAATCATTTGATGCTTAAGCTTGGCTAAGTCAGCCTTAAGTGCAAACCCAAAAGAGTTTTCTAATCAATTGAACTGTTGACATTGTCTTTGCACAGATGCCACTTTGCAATGCATGATAAAACAATGCTTATTGGAGCTGATAGCAGCAACATTACTGATAGATGTATCCGAGTGACAATACATCACTGTTTTTTTGACGGCACAAGACAGAGGCACCCACGTCTTAGGTTTGGGAGAGTTCATCTTTACAATAATTATACAAGAAATTGGGGTATATATGCGGTATGCGCCAGTGTGGAAGCACAGGTCAATCTGAATCCTATAAGTTATCTTTTTCAATATCTTTTTTTTTTTTTTTTTTTTGTTGGCTATTGAACTTTGGTATACGATTGATTTCTCAGGTACTCTCTCAGTGCAATATATATGAAGCAGGAGAGAAAAAAACTGTGTTTAAGTACATGCCTGAGAAGGTACCTCTAACTTACCTTCATTATGGACATACAGATTGTGATCTTACACAACTTATTGAACTTTTATGGTGCACATTATTCTTATTATTGTTGTTGTTGTTTACCATTATATTGTATATTCATTGATTTCTGATTTAAAGATATAAAAAAAATCTGCTATGCATTAGTTCTTTTACCAGGTTGCTAGTAGCCTGTCTCCCAGAACCATCATTTGAAGGAGAATGGATGAAAGGACAGAGTTGTAATATGTTTTAACTTTTATTGTAAAATTATATGAAGAAATTCTCATAATATTTGTTACTCTGTGAAGACGTTAAGGTGGCCTGAAATGCAAGGAGCATTTTACTTTAAAACTATGGGAGCAAGTTATGGAACATAGGTTGCGGCGTGATAGTAATGTTTCTCAAAATCAATTTGGATTCATGCCGGGTAGGTCGACTATGGAAGCCATACATTTATTAAGAGGATTGATGGGGAAATATAGAGAAAATAAGGAGGATCTACATATGATATTTATTGATTTAGAAAAAGCTTATGATAAAGTTCCAAGAGAATTGCTATGGAGAGTTCTTGGAAAGAAAGGAGTTAATAACGCTTATATTAAAATCATTAAGGATATATATGCAGGAGCAATTACTTGTGTTCAAACCTATGTTGCACCGATACGGATACGGTGACACGAATACGACACGATACGGATACGGGACACGTCAATTCTTAAAAATATAGGATACGGATACGGCGCGGACACGGTATTATAATTTATAAATCATACATAAAAATTAAGAAAGCAAACAAAGCATAATATTTGAAATTACAAAAAAAATGACGACAACATCATTTGTAGCATTGTAGCTTATAATATCAAAATATAAGCAAGCATTAAATGTCTAGTACAACAACAAAAGCATAAACATAAATTATCTAGCACTTGAAGTTTCAACTATTCAATATAGGGAATTATATAATTATCTTCTTCATTGATTTGTCTTTGAACTTCTATATCATATTCAGTAAATATCATAGCTTCTAATTCAGATCAAGTGAAATATTAGTAAATTTTAATATTTTCATATCATCGAGAGACTCAAATCCATCTCGAAAATGAGAGAATCTTGCTCGCAACCGTGGAAGTAAATACGACACGTTTTTTTTTCGGATTTCTTTTTTTGTTTTTCAACGGACACGCGTATCGGATACGCGTGTCCTTTTGAAATTAAATAGTATTTTAGTTGGATACGGCTTTGGCGTATCCGACACGTATCGGTGGAGTATCGGAGGCGTATCCATGTATCGGAGAGCTGTGCTTAGTTTATCTCACTCTTTAGCCAGCCCTTGAATTAATCCGAGCTTAAGCAGATTATGCTGAAGAAAACTTCTAGAAAATCATTTGATGCTTAAGCTTGGCTAAGTCAGCCATAAGTGCAAACCCAACATCCTTCTTTTTCTTTTTGTGTGTACTGTCAAAAGAGCTTTCTAATTAATTGAACTGTTGATATTGTCTTTGCACAGATGCCACTTTGCAATGCATGATAAAACAATGCTTATTGGAGCTGATAGCAGCAACATTACTGATAGATGTATCCGGGTGACAATACATCACTGTTTTTTTGATGGCACAAGACAGAGGCATCCACGTCTTAGGTTTGGGAGAGTTCATCTGTATAATAATTATACAAGAAATTGGGGTATATATGCTGTATGCGCCAGTGTGGAAGCACAGGTCAATCTGAATCCTATAAGTTATCTTTTTCAATATCTGTTTTTCTTTTTTATTTTTGCTATTAAACTTTGGTATACGATTGATTTCTCAGGTACTCTCTCAGTGCAATATATATGAAGCAGGAGAGAAAAAAACTGTATTTAAATACATGCCTGAGAAGGTACCTCTCACTTACCTTCTTTATGAACATACAAATTGTGATCTTACACAACTTATTGAACTTTTATGGTGCACATTATTATTATTATTGTTGTTGTTGTTGTTGCAGTTGTTGTTGTTGTTTTTGACCATTATATTGTATATTCATTGATTTCTGATTTGAAGATTTAAAAAAAAAATCTGCTTTGCATTAGTTCTTTTACCAGGTTGCTGGTAGGCTGTCTCCCAGAACCATCATTTGAAGGAGAATGGATGAAAGAACAGAGTTGTAATATGTTTTTTACTTTTATTGTAAAATTATATGAAGAAATGCTCATAATATTGGTTACTCTGTGAAGACGTGAAGGTGGCCTGAAATGCAAGGAGTTTTTTTTTGTTTTTTTTTGAACATTTACTTAAATAGCTCATTTGAAATCTTGGCACCTAACATTTGCAAATGATATACTCTGATTAGGTGAAACTTTGAGTGAAAAGATGTGAAAATGAAAAAAAAAAAAAAAATGAAGGAAAGATAGTTGGGATAATTAAAATAAAGTATTAGCACATAAAGTGTTATGTTAATGAATGTGAAATGAATAATAATCAATCAATAATGCATGAGGATTATATGATATCTTGGTTTGATAAGTTTAGATATATTGTATCCATTATATAGAAGAAGTGGATCTAGTTGAGAATATAGTTAGTATAATTAAAGTTAGTTGTTTAAAGGTCTAGTGCTGGCGGAGTGACAGTTGAAGAGGGTATCATGGAATTTTTGAAGTATGGTTGGAATTGAAATAATATGCTCGATGAATAACCCAATATTTGTTCAACTAGAGCTTGTCTATGTTCATTTACTTCGCTAACTCAGCAAGCTGATCATAATTTAAGAAGCTTGGCACTTAAACTCAGCAAGCTGATCATAATTTAAGAAGCTTGGCACTTAAGTGAATAAGTTTGAAAATTTTCATATTTGTTTATTTGTGTTTGTAACCATGCTAATTTATTATTTAACAAGTTTCAGATTAAAAACTCGATTAAATACTCCTTCGATATGCATTTATTAGCTTATATAACTCACTTGAACTTTTTTACCTATATATTTTAAGTAGATTATAATTATAAAAACATAAGAATTCATAATAATCAAATCATTAATATTTTTCATTTTTATTTTATTTTTTATGTCATTTGAATGTCAAAACATATACTATAGTCAATATTACTAATACATCTAATGTATTTTCTAAAATTACACATGCCTCCTCTTTTGATAGATATTACATTATATATTAACCATAATCCGTTTTCTTAAATTACACTTGCCTCACTACTTGTTTGATATTATATCTTATGTTAACGTCAATCCGTTAACTTAGAGTTTTATAAATGAGAGTTAAATATAGTTTTAGAAAGCACAATAGAGGTATGTGTAATATTGACTACCTTCATGGGATGAGTGTCATCAACCAAAAAATTAATAATTGAATTATTTGATTTTTTGTCATTAATTATGTATAGATTTACATTAGATGAGAATCTTATTTCCTTCGATATGCATTTATTAGCTTATATAACTCACTTGAACTTTTTTACCTATATATTTTAAGTATATTATAATTATAAAAACATAAGAATTCATAATAATCAAATCATTAATATTTTTCATTTTTTTATGTCATTTGAATGTCAAAACATATACTATAGTCAATATTACTAATACATCTAATGTATTTTCTAAAATTACACATGCCTCCTCTTTTGATAGATATTACATTATATATTAACCATAATCCGTTTTCTTAAATTACACTTGCCTCACTACTTGTTTGATATTATATCTTATGTTAACGTCAATCCATTAACTTAGAGTTTTATAAATGAGAGTTAAATATAGTTTTATAAATGAGAGTGTCATTGACCAAAAAAATAATAATTGAATTATTTGATTTTTTTTGTAAATAATTATGTATAGATTTGCATTACATAAGAATGTTATATATTTAAATTTTAGCACTTCATTTTATTTGTCTTAATTAAAGCTCTATTTCAACTTGAGCTTGCTAAAAAATTAAATAAACAAGTTTGGTATGAATTTACTCAAGTTATTTTTAATCTCAGCTTGAATTCAATAAAAAAAAAACTTGAACATAATATTATTCTGTTTGATTTGATTCATTTATAGTCCTATTTAAAACTTAAAAGTAGATTCTATAGCATGACAATTGTGACTCAAATGAGAATTTATGATGACTGTGGAATAGAATGCAAATTAATTAGATTTGAGAAAAAATAATTTATAGAATTGTGATTAGTTCAGCTGCAGTAGTGATGATAATGATGCAAATGATGATGATGATGATTGTTAGATTAGCTGCAATAGAAATAGAAGTGTTGGGTAACATAACGAGCAATTACCAATCCAGTTGAGTGGTGTATGAAGAAGATGGTAATGATGGATGTACAATAAAACTTATAATAATAGTACATTGGCTATGATTATGTAAGAAAGATATGGCATTAAAGATGAGCTGCTAGAAATAGAAAATAGACCTCGAAGGTTTTGAAATCTGCAACTGAGAGTAAGATGCACCAATACTATAAGGAGATAAACTTAATGTTAAAACATGAGGATGCAAAGAGGTGCACAAAATGAAGTAGCATTCAGCTTGAATGAATGTAGAAGGAAGATTTATAAAGCTGATACCAAATTGTTAGGGCTAAAGCTGATGAAAAATGATTAATAGTTGTTTAAGTAACATAATAGAGGAGATCGACCTAGCGACTATAAAAAGGAGAGAGAGGGTGACCTATGGCGACTTAAATGAGAGAGGATATTGAGAACATGAGGGGAGCCTGGAACGATGATGGGCTCATGTGGTTATCCTACGTACATGAGTTGGAGTTTGGAAGCAGTTTTAGTATAAGGTTAGGTATGACATCATGATTTTCAAATCTTCAATTGAATTTTAGAGGGTGTCGAATTTGTTTTCATTTGTTGTTCTATACTAGACATTTGCAAAAACATGCAAATGTACCTTGGTGTATGTTTTTTGCAAATGATATTCTTTTTGTTGATAAGATTGGAGAGGGAGTGGATGAAAATCTTGAATTGTGTAAGTCAACCTTAGAATCTAAAAGTTTTCATTTGAGTAGATCTAAAATCAAATACATGGAGTATTGGAGTGTAATTTTAGTAGTAATAGATATAGTGGTGGAATTGTGACATTGGGTGATCAAGTTATTAAAGAGTGTGCACATTTTATGAATCTCGAGTCTATTATTAAAAACGATGAAGAAATAGATGGGAATATTATTAATAGAGTTTAAGTTGGATGGTTGAATGGGAGGAATGCATTGAGCCTGTTGTGATAGAAAAGAACCCCTCAATTTTAAGTGAAAATTTTATAAGATGTGGTGAGACCTGCAAGGCTTTAAGGTGCAAAATGTTGTCCACTAAAATAGAAGCATACAATTAAGTGGTGCTGAGATGAGGATGTTCACGTGGATGAGTGGCATTGCTCTTAATGATATAATCCAAAATGAGTATATACGTGAAAAGATTTGAGTAGCTCCAATGGTAGAAAAGATTAGAGAGAGACACCTTAGATGGTTTGATCACATAAGACATCGGACTTCTGATGACCCTGCCCTATTAAGAGAGTAGTTGTATTAGATCTGACTTATGTTAAGTAAGATAAATGTGGACCTAAAAAGACTTGGTTAGAAAGTATTATAAATGAATTTTTTTATTAGATTTAAATGAGAATTTGACTCTTAATAGAGTATAATAGAGAAAAAGAATTCATGTTGTAGACTCTATATATTAGAATAAATGTTTGTTGTTGTTGTTGTTGCTCTGTACTCAAATTGATCTAATGATGATGATTTTGGTGTTATGATAAAACAGAGTATAATGTAGAGGTGCTTTTTAAAGAAAATGTAGAAAATGCAGGATGCACTAAAAAATTTATTTGTTAACTTGATGATAACTCGAATAAAAGAACTTACAAGCGAGGCTGTGGGGCGGAACACAATGAATAATTTCATAGAAAAATAGAAAGTTGGTTTGACAATTAACCATGGAAAGTGGAATCTACACGGCCGAGTTGAGGAGATAGCATAAGTGAAGGGAAGATGGAGAGGTATAAACTATAGTACCGAGGTTAAAAGTCAAGAAAGAAAACTTATTTTAAGTTAAATTGCACTTTTTACGAGGCTCGCCAAAAATTAATGAACATGAAGGATTATAAAGTCATCCCACACAAGTGGGATAAAGGCTAATGATTATGACATTGTGCAACTCATGTGGAAACCATTTTGCATTCTTCTATATACATGCCTGTAATATCTGTTTAATTGATTTATGATCATCTTTATCCGCATTCTCACTTGCAGAAACTGAAAGGTTTTTTGATGTTGGGAAAGAAAAGCACACAATGAAACAAACAAGAAAATGACCTATTAGAAATGAACATCATATTTTAACTTAGAATAAAATCAAAACTTTGGAAAAAAACACGGAGCCGCATCACACCAAAAAACTCACTATGAAAATTAAGATAAATTGTACAAATCTCTCTTCTCACACTCTTTCCATGTCACTCTTCACTTCTCTCTTCATTCTACTCTCATAACAGATAAAGATACCTTTTCAATACATCAGAGAATGCAACCCTTCAAGTGAAATAAGAAAAGAGGTAAAAAAAATTGCTCAGCCCACTTTGTATTGCTCCACTCTTTGTCTTTGAGTCCGCCTTGCATCCTACAACATTGCGTCAGCGGGGTTTGGAGTGTTGCAGTGCTTCATTCTTTGTCTCCAGCCCAAGCCTGGAGTGTTACAACGCTCCAACATACAGCGTTGTAGTGCTTGAACAGTAAAAAAAAGAGAGAATTTCAGGGCCAAAGCCCCTGAATCCCAAGCAGGGGAGCGCTGACCCCCTGCAACCTCTCGATGAGCTCAACTGATGTAATTAAAGTCTAAGCAATTGTACAATCTGATTGATCGATACAATCATATTCCACACATAACTAACATTAGATACCAATTCCATAATTAAAGTTATTATAGCCTCAATTTGGCATCCTATTTTATGTTTCTATTAGAAGTTTTGAGGATGATGAATGTTGAATGAGATAATTGTTCTTTTCTTGTTACAGGCTGCTGATAAAGAGGAGGTGGTGGCTGGCTGGATAAGATCAGAAGGAGATCTGTTTCTAAATGGTTCCCAGCCCTGCCTTTTAGAGGGTGTTGGTGTTGAGTCAGTTTTCAAGCCCCATGACCATTATCCAACCTGGACAATGGAACCAGCATCTGTGGCACTTAAAGAGGTTCTTCAGATATGTACAGGTTGGCAGGCTGTCCCAAGGCCACAAGTCACTTAGTCTTTGTTCGGGACGGCTTTCTTCTTGCTTCTTCAAGTAGCTTTTTAATACAAAATTTTAAATTTTTATACTAAAAAGCATATTTAAGAAGCATTAAGAAAGCCGTTCCAAATGAAACCTTAGTCTTTGTTTGGGACGGCTTTCTTCTTACTTCTAAAAATAGTTTTTTAATACAAAAATTAAATTTTTGATATTAAAAAATCGCTTTAAGAAGCAGCAAAAAGCTGTCCCAAATTAAGCCTTAAAGCAGCTGATATGTGAATAGAGGATTTGCCTTGTGTTATTTTTATGTGTCAACCAAGCTCTTTCTAGGGCTAATGCTGTTCTGTTAGTTTTTCAACTGCAGTAATGCTTTTTTTTCCTTAAACTGCTTATAATTGAATTTGTGTATATATAAGAATAGACTATTATTATTTTTATGTGAAAAAATGGTTCTTTCTTCACATATGGGCTGTTTGTTGGATGTTTTAAATGCATAGAGAGAGATTGAAACTTATGCATTAGATATTTAAGAATTATTTTATTGAATGTAACTTAAATTAATGGAATTTTTTTATTTGTTATGATATATTTCAAGTATATTAAAATTTATCTCTCTCTCTCATTCATTCACTGGAGAAGTTTAGGTGAGGCTGCAATGTAGGAGGGTACATGGGGGAGGAAGGCGGCCGGAAAGGGTTAAGGATGTGTGCGCGGGAGGTGATCAGTGATAGGAGAGCTCGGGGGATGTTATTAACAATGGATAGGATGGGTGAAAAATTATTTTGTGCAGATCCGGACGGCATCGAGAGATCTATTAGAATGTGTCATGTCACTCTTTTGCTATGTATCAATGCTCGGTATCGTTCGGTACTGGGTGGTGTAGCGCATTCTAATTGGTCTCCGGATCGTCCGGTGTTCGCATAGAATAATTTCTCAATGGACAGGGAATGCACTAGGAAAAGGTGAGTCGAGTGTGATGGAAGGGTTTGTGGGAGGTTAAGGTTTTGTTTCGGATAATTTATTATTATTATTATTATTTTCAAGACATTTTAGTACTAAAAAATTATCGTAAACAAAGCCTAAGAGTGATGAGAGGTTTTTGGGTGAGGCCTCTAGCAACATGAGGGTCTTGAAGGAAGGCATGATTATTTCAAAATTGATAGATCTATAGAAGATTCAATTGAACCTAAATTACAAAGGGAAGTAATCATGCTTTGTGAATGCCAATACGAAGGAAATGATTGGCCTGGCCTAGATTTTTCATAGAGAGCTTGAGGCGAGATTTTTTATCTGAGTGGAGATGGTGACTGAATTGTTTTCGATAAGCAGTATGTTGTTGATATAGATCACCGACATCTCCACCATCTGACTTTCGCGTGTGCAGGGGTGGACATGTGCTTATGTGTTGCTCACCCTCAAAATTTTAATAAAATAGTTTAAGGATATTTTAGTTATTTCCCCACCCTTAATCCTAATTTTCCCAACAAATGGAAAAAAAAAATACCACATAACAGTAGAAATTCTTCAGCCCACAGCTGCAACTGTTCACCGGCGCCTACCAATTGTGTCTACCTTCATCACAGGAAATGTTTTTGAGTTCGAACGATAGAGCTGCAGCAGCAAACTTTGTTCGGTCATTCCTTAGCGCCTGCAATCCATGCCTAGCTACAAGCCTCCAATCGAGGTTTGACATTTGGTAACCCAATTTTCCTATTTAGTATTATATTTTAGCTTATAATAATTTTAATATATCTATCATAATAAAATATAAAATTTTGTTTTGAATTATATGCTCATTTTATTTTTTGTAAATAATAGTCAATTTATATAAAAATTTTGCCCACCCTAAAATGAAAGACTTATTCCGCCGCTATTTGTGTGCAACTTTTGTGCCGCGGGAAATCTCTTATGAATGTTTCATTAGGTGCAATATTTACTCTTTAGAGTTTTCAGAGTTTAAAATTACTCTATGAAGTGTTGCATATATTTATTATTGCTATCGTAGAGATTCAACTACATAATATTTAGACGCTCATCATTTAATAATAAAAATGGAGATATGTTATATTAATATTATGATAATATCATTATTTATATATTCATTAAATTTTTTTGGCACTTCTTATTAATTTTACAAATTATATATATAATATTTAAATTTTATTTATTTATAAAATTAATATTTATGTTTTTTTAATTACCTAATTCTTGTATTCATGTGTCACAAGCATTAAAAAATATTAATTTTTTAAAAATCCAAATTTTAAAAATTAGATCCATTTTGACGTCACAAGCATTCCGAAAAAACAAAAAAAAAACCGGATGGGGCATTTTATTAACGGTTCGGCCGAACCGAAGCGAATTGTTGTTTCGACAGCAGTATATAAAATTCGCTTCGACCCGCCTCCGCCATCATTGTCTAGGGTTTCTGTGATAGTTTCATCAGCTGCGAAAGAGAAGAAGAGATGGGTACATGGCTTCGGTTTCTTATAACACATTTCCCCTTCTTGCCAATGATTTAGTCCTTAAACCGCTTTCCGTTCCTTTTTTCAGCGAGGATTAAGGTTCACGAACTTCGACAGAAGTCTAAGACGGAACTCCTGAACCAGCTTAACGATCTCAAAGCGGAGCTTGCTCTTCTTCGCGTCGCCAAGGTCACTGGAGGAGCCCCCAACAAGCTTTCCAAGATGTAATTTTTTTTCTCTCTAATATGTAGTTCACCTCTTCGTTTTTTTTACGTCTCCGAATGGTTATGTTTCTCCCATACTTAAATAACTAAAAGAATATGATTTTTACAGCAAGGTGGTGAGGCTTTCGATCGCGCAGGTGCTGACTGTGATATCCCAGAAGCAGAAGGCGGCGCTTAGAGAGGCTTACAAGAATAAAAAGTTTCTCCCGCTTGACCTCCGGCCAAAGAAGACCCGTGCGATAAGGCGTCAACTTACCAAGCGTCAGGTCGGTTTCATCAGGCCGTTTTTTTTTGTCTTTAGCATGGTGCTTTTTTCCTCTTCAAATTCTTACAGATCTTTTTTTAAACTTATTCTTGTTCCCTTCGTAATCTGCAATGAAGTTCTTTAATTATGTTTCTGCTGTCTATTTAGCTTTTAAATCATACACTAGGTATTAAGCTAGTGCGGCATGTTGTGAGGTTGTGAGAAGCAATCCATTATTCAACATCTAGCACTGGGGTGGGGGTGGGAGAGTGTTCACAGATGTAAGTTGAATTGGCTTTGAAAACTTTGTTACAAGTGATCATATATGTGATTTTTAAATGAAAGGCCTTGGGCAATAACGTTGCACAACCGTTTGTGTAGACATTCAAGCTTCATTGATATCCCTGAAAACACAAAATTGTATTAGAATTATGCCAAGTTAAATTAATAATTCTCATTTTAATCTGCATATTTGCTGAACAACACATTTTTTATATTTTAATTATCTGTAGTATAGAGTTGATATGACATGGACCCCCAACTTTTATGTTGTTTCTATCAACTTTTTTTAGAAGATTGAAATTCTCATCTAGGAATAGATAGATTGACCAATATTTTATTATTATAGGAAATAATATGTAAAATTCAGCTTTTAGCGATGTGAATTGTTGAAGATGAGGTAGTGGAGAACAGATTTTGGTGATTTGGGTATGAATATGGGAAGGTAGAACATGCATCAAGAGATGGATGGATAAAGTTAATGTGTAAAGATTAGGATGTAGAAGACATAGACTGAAGAGCACATGCCTAGAAGTTGTACTGAAATATTCATGCGAGTAGAAACCTAAGGCAATACTAAAAAATAATGAATGGAAAATGACGATTGATAAAACTTACTTGAAATAGTTCAGATGAAGCTAATGATGATGATGGCAATGATTGTTATGTTTATAATTTCATGTAAGAGCCATCACATTATTTGATAAATCATTTTTGCACAAATAAATGAATGTATGATTAGGTTGGCTATGATTTACATATATTTGAGTGTTGGAGGATGAGTGTGATTGAGTGCTAAGTGCATGATAGAAATAAAAATGTTAAGATGCATGTTTTGTATAATTATGAAGGATAAAACGAATGGATCATTTAGTTGGGTGTTAGAAACAATTTTTTTGTGGATAAGATATTTAAAGTAGAGTTAAGCTATTTTTATATGTGCATGATAGAGATTTGATGATTCACGATATTTAGAAGAAGTGGTTGACAAAGTATCATGGTTAGATGATGTATAAAAGAAGGCTTACCGATATATCAAGTAACACAAATTAGGAATGAATGAAGGAGGATTCAAAAGGCCAATCTCAGATGGTAGTTCTGATTGAGCATAATGACAATGCTGATGATGATGATTTTATTTTCAATTTCAAGGATTTTAATATTTGAAAATTTCACAAGTTTCTAACCAAGCCAAACCACAATTAAATTGCCAAAAACTGTGTGTTGATTCTACCAAATTTGTTTAACCTGAACTAGCTGGTCAAAATTAACTTTAGTGAGGGCAGTGTTGGAGTAAAAAATATGTTAGGCATATTTTGCTCCAAAGTCTGTAATATACTCTGACCACTTGAAGTAAATCCTTTGGATGAAATTTTCAAACTAGGATCTCCTTTTCAGGGCAATTAAACAATAAACATAATTGTCTTTTGTATGTTACAGTTAAGGTGAATGGTTAGAAATTCTGAAATTGAATAGGTTCCTTGTAGATCTAGGGGCATCAGTTAATATTCTGAATGTTAAGCCTTTGAAAGCTTGTCCCTTTATCATTGAAGTTAACTCGAGGTAGGGTCATGTTTAAAAAGGTGAAATTGAAATTTGAGGCATTATTTAATGTAGGTTTATTTTGGTTGCTCTTAATTATTTCTTAAAGTGGCTAGAAACATACTCACTTAAGAAAATAAAATTGAGAATTTATTATATCTTTTTAATGATCATGCGGGCTATCATTTTTGTGTTTCATATTGTATAATCTGAGATAATGATGCATCATTCTAGAGCACTATAATAGCTAGATTTACCCTATCAAAATTACATTAATTGGCATTATTCTTTCATTTACTATTGTAGAGTAAAAGCCTTTAATAAAATCTTTGTGAAAGTAATTAAAGAAACACTCGTACATAAGACATTGTGGTCTTATTGAACCACTTAACTCACACCTACCTAATCCACGTTATATGCTTTAGTTTTTGGGGTTGAAGCAATCCTGCCACTTCTGGTCGAGCTATTGTGTGTGACGCCTTGCCATTAGCTTTCCTATGATGAGGATGCATGATTGCAGTTAGAAGAACTTGACGGTTTTGAGAGTTGAGGTTACAATCTCATTCAAACCTCGCGCTATATTAAGCATGTGTGGCCTATGAACATCATTTAGTTCATCTTAGGACCTCTCGATTGACCAATCTAGTCCTTGTTTTGTATCATTGCCAAGATTGTAAGTTCGAGCCTACCGGGGAATGCCCCTTTGTTATAAAGCAAGTAGATCAAGGTGGAGCTTGCCTCTTGGTGAATAGCAATGGTGTGCATCCAATGCAATATTTGAAGAAGATTACGCCAAGCTTTATGTATTTTGGGATGGTATTAGTACTCATGGCCTTGATGATTTGTAATCTATCACACAGTTCAGCCACCCTGATGGAGATATTTCTTTTTGAAAATAGTTAAGTATTGCTCTATGTGAGGAATAATCACATCTAATTTAAGTTTGCAGTATTTCTAGTTTGTTGGTTGAGGCTCCTTACTAGAGATAACCTATAGATGTAGAAATAATTCCCTCTCCCATATGATTAATTACCTCAGCAGTATGGGATCAGTTAAAAAAATAAAAAATTATTAAAAAAAAAAAGCTTCGATGGACGGATGGAGTATGAGTCTTTACCTGTAACATAGGAGCCTAGGAGGAACCCTTTTTCAGCCCCTAAATCAACTTGTCTCTATTATTTATATTGCCTTCCCTGATAGGGTCATTTGTCTCAATTTGACTTGTGTTGGTGTGGCATACATATGGATAGTTGTCATGTGTTCGAATTGTCAATCTTTTTTTTTATTTCACTTATACCCTCGAGCATGGCCTGAATTAACAAAATTAAAACCATTTATCCCTAACGAATCATTCTTGGTTCATCTTTTGCGATCACTTTTATATTTGATTGTATGTTTCTGTTAGTAGGTTCAATGTTAGGGTTTGGCCTCTATTAACCTTAAATAAGGGTCGCCTGTTCTTCCATTGCACTCATAGCTTTGATTATGATATCGATTTCCAAAGCCCAATTGTATTCATCCCTAACAAGGATCGCTTCAAAGAAAAATGCTTCAACAAAGTATGAGCTTAGTTGCTTTGGCACTGTGGAAACTCAACATCCATGATATTATATTAGTCTCCAATAGAGTTGCAATAAATCAATTCTCTTTTCATTGATTCTTATGATGGAGCATAAAGGCCTTGGATTAATTTATATCCTATGTGTGATACAATCAAATTTTTTATGACTCTTCTTACCACATGAATCTTTTTTGAAGTCCACGTTAGCATGATCAACTAGTTTCATTTTAAGTAATGTTCACCCTTTGATAATTATTTATTTGGTACAAATTGAAAAATTCACGAAATTGTTTTAATCAGCAAATAAACTTATTAGGATCATGCAACAACAATAACAAGTTGCCTTATCCCTCTACATAGGGTTGACTACATGAATCTTTTTTCTCCATTGTGTTCTATTAAGAGTCGAATTATCATTTAAATTTAATACAAAAAGTTCATTTTTAATAGTTTATGACCAATTCTTTTTATGTCCACCTGTACATTTTCTTAACATTGGTTGAATCTAATACATCTACTCTCCTAACAGAATCATTAGAAGACCAACATTTTATGTGACCAAACCATTTAAGGAGACTATCTCTAATCTTATCTGCCATTGGAGCTAATCCAACCGTTTTTTACGTATATACTCATTTCACATTCTATATCTAATTGTAAAGCCACTTGTCCACCTGAGTATCTTCATCCCTGATAAATCCTCATTATTGTTTTTATACTTCTTTGTCAAACCTCTTAGCAAATGTATAGCTTTCTTAGTTGAGCTGCCCGACATAAATTCTAACTAATTTTGAGTTATATTAGTATCATGTCATAACCTATGCTTAATTATTCTCTCCCATTATTTTAATGTATGTTACATTTACTTAATTTTTTATATTTTCGTCACTACTGTGCATTATCTTTATTTATAAAAATAGGAAGCACTCCTTCATTCATCTGACATCTTTTTAGTCTTCAAAATAATATTAAAAAAGTTAAGTAAGTTAAGAAATTTCTTGATCCCCTTAACATTTCTATGCTTGTAGTGTAATGTTGTAAGGTCTTATTACTTTTTCACATTTCATTTTATTAAAGCCTCTCGAACTTTGGTTTGTGTTTTACTAATATGATGATAAAAAAAATATATTTTCATTTAGGGTGTTAAAGTTACTAAATTCAATCATATTATTACAACATTCATTGAAACATTATTAAAATATTTCATTCTTCTATGTTTGAATATCATTTGATAAGAAATTCACTTTTTTATCTTTATCCTTAATGCACTTCGTTTGAATTAAATCTTTCTTTTTATTATCTCTTTTGCTTGGCTAACTTGTACATATAACTTTTTCCCCTTTTGGTATCTAATTTATTATATAAATCATTAAAATCAAAATTATTTACTTTGCATATTCTCACAATGTTTCTTTCTGTTATCTCTTTGCTTGGATTATATCTTTCTCTATTTTTCAAGTTTTTACATCTAAATTAAGTTTTATAATAAAGTCTTTTTTTTATTTTTGATCTTACACATTTTGATTCCACCACCTACTACTTTGACTATTAGGAATTTTTTTCGTTTGATTCTCCTATCACATATTTTGTAACCTTTTTAATATTGCTAGTTATTTTTTTCACATAATGTTTGTTATTTAGTTTACTTATAAATAACTCAAATCTTATCCTCAAAAATATTTTTATTAGCATTTTTTAAATACTCCAATCTAATCTTAGGATAATATTTTACTTTCTTTTTTTATTTTTCACATTTTCATTTTAAAGTCCAAAACTAATAAGTGATGCTTGGTATATAAAATTTCACTCGAAATGACTTCTCAATCTTTGAAATCTAAACGATATATTTCTCTTATAGTAAGATAATCAATTTGAGTTTTTCTATGTCAATTCTTATAAGTGGTGCGATATTCCTCTATTTTTTAAATAAAGAATTAACAATTATAAAATCATAAGCTAGTGTAAAATTTAATATGATCTTACAACCTTAATTAGTCGCTCCAAATTCATAGGCACTATGAATATTTTTACAATCTTCTATCACTCTGTCAATATGTACATTTAAATCTCCTCTAGTAATTTTTTTTTTCTTTAAGAGATATCATTTGTATTAATTCTTTCATGTTATTCTAGAACTTTATTTTTGAATGTATATCCAAACCTATTTGAAGAGCACACCATTAATAATTTTAGCATTAACAACAATTTTTAAAGCATAATTATGTCTCTAATTCTATTAATTTAAAAAATTATTTTTAAAAAATCTCATTTATAATTATACATACACTATTTCTGATATGACTCCTACCTAAGCATCAAAGTTTTAATCCTTAACTATCAGTTTTCTTAGTCTAGTCTTTTCCTAGCTCATTTAGTTTTCTGAGTATATATAATATTTATCTTCTTATGAATAATAGTTGCTATTAATTTCATTAATTTACACGTAAGAGTACTTGTATTTAATGTTCCTATCCTAATTTTGATTTTATTGGCTATTTTCTTTTGCCTACATTCGTACATGATATAAGAACTCTTGCTTATTTAACATTGTATCTTAGCGTAGATGTAGCAATTCTTGCACACTTATTGCTGTACGTAGGCCATACAGCGCATCGCATATTAGGATCATTCAAACCCTTAAAAGTTAGGGGTTATTAAAATTTTCACCATATCTAGCTTTCTTATCATTTCTATTTAAATTTCTTTGAGTAGTAGGTTTTTAATCAGATTTTTATCTCTGGGGTTCTCATTTAACTTACCATCCAAGTTGGTATATAAGTCAAGGCTCGTGCAAGTTATGTAGAGATGGATGGCTTGTTTTGCAACTTTAGAATTAAATGTTTCTTTCCGTTTCTCAGTTTGTCCATCATATTATGCATGAGTTGAATTTATTATTAGCATATCAAACCTATTATTCAGGATTACACTATTTAATTTTTGTCTTTCAAATTGATTCATTTGGATCGACTTGTGTGGCTCAATAATAAATTATAAGATTTGCGTATGCAATGATTATTTAAGTGCTAAATACACTGCAAAATATATGAAAAATAATATATGCAATGCTTAAATAATGAAATATTGATAAACTTCACCAAATATGTTTTTATAGGAAATCAACTAAATAACAAAAGTTATTAACTTCAGGCTCTTTTAATTTTTAAAACGTAATTGAGCAAGTTGCATGGTCTTCAATTAGTGGGCCACGCTCATATTTTTTTTGGGAATTCTCATGCGAATCTGGGAGGGGTAGACTTAAGCTGGATTATTGTCTAGGCTTTAAAATAGGAGAAATTATTTTATAAGGAGATCAGACGGCGAGAATCGTCCGGATTTGCCATCTCTTAGCTGCCCTTTTGGGACATTTTTGCAAATACTCAGCAAATACAGTCTGCTAGTTGGAGATTGCTTGCAGGTTTTTATGGAATTGCAGCACATCATGCAAGAAATCCTTGCTCTCACATGCTATAGATAACTTACTAATATGAGTAATCAAAATTTGAATATGATGGACTTTACCCAATTGCTGGCTATGAAATCACCACTTTGAAATGGCTGGAGGTGGTGTTAGTTTTTGTGGTACTGATGTAGTGTTGAGTATGCCTTGGCTGTTGTTGCTATTGATGTTGCCATTTGCTCCTGACTCTGATACCAATAATGATGAAGATGGTATTGAGAAGATTGCAGAGGTGATGATGTTATGTACTTAATGGTGGTTTTAGCAATTGATGATGATTCTAGGTTATGGATTGTGTGGGGTGGTTGTTGTGTCCCGGGGTTTGTAGTTTCCTTAGAGAAAAGGATGTGCCTAAATGTAGGGGTGGGCTATGGTTTAAGCGGTGGATTTTGGGAGAAGATAAGAAGGGTTAATGCTAGGGATAGATGAGGTCTTTTGGTTTGGAGGGAAGCCTGAAGGAGGAGAAATTATTTTGTGCGGAGACTGAATGTAGTACGCCGTCCGGAGACCAATCATAATGCGCAGCGTCAGCGGAACTGAGCCGCGGTATTGAGTGAGGGGGTGATGTGGCGCATTCTGATTGGTCTTCGGATCGCATTCGGCGTCCACAGAATAATTAATCTTGAAGGAGGCCAATTGTTGAGGCTCTTAGGCTTTAGATGGGGTTTTACGGTTAAAAGGGAAGGATGCTGGGAGGTGAAGTTCTTAGGATTTTAGTATAGGAGGAAGGGAGGGAGCGAGGGAGTTTCATTTAAGCTCATTTAATTATTTTGGAGGTATGGTGGTACTTTTATTAAAATCAAACTCTTTTATTTATTTATTTTTTTTAAGATGCCTTAATCAAGGCTTTAAGGATTGGATCAGATATGACATGTGGGCGGAAATGTTCAACCAGAATCCCAACCTAGGTAACTTTGATGAGATCACTGTTATTAAAATTAATTTATATTATTCAAATGATTTAGGCTTCATTTGAAATAGTTTTTTTGCTGCTTTTGTGGGAAGAAAATTAATGAGAAAACAGTAATTTGTTTGAAAGACGGTTTTTTTCATTGATTTGTCAAAATTTTGATTTTAAGGTTTCCAAACATTGATTTGTCAAAATTTTGACTTTAAGGTTTCCAAACTTTCTTAATGCTTTGTAAAGCAACTTTTTAGTACAAAAATTTCAATTCAAGAAATTTTTATACTGAAAAACAATAAGAAAGCTGTTCCAAATGAAGCCCAGGTTATTGAAACTGTGGTTGAGAAAGGCGTTTTTAAAAAGTACATATAGAAAAGCTCAAGTCATCTCAAAACAAAAACCTTAATATTCATTATTATTATTATAATTATGATAGATAAATGATATAGATGTCTCATTAAACATATTTTCTTCATTGTAATTTCTAGTCAATTGTTTTCAAATGGTTCCTGGTCTTAAGGGTTAAGTGGTCCGACCAGCAAATTACCCTGCAAATCCATTTTTTTATGTCGAATTGGATTTATTATTCTGTGCGGAGTCCATATATCGTCCGGAGACCAATAAAAATGTGTCACGTCATCCCAAAATATACCGCGCTCGATACCGACCGTAACCGGACGGTATAACCTTCCGGTGTCCGCACAGAATAATCTCTTGTCGAATTGAACCAGTTCCTACTTTGACTGGTTAAATCGCTGTATTGATTTAGGTTTGATTTGGGACAGCTTTTTTATTACTTTATAAAATAAAAATTTTTTTAGTACAAAAGTTTCAAATTTTCGCAGCCATGTCGTCCTTGTGAGATCTGTAATGTTGTAGTACTATACTTCGCCTCATTCTCATATAAGGCTTCGTTTGATTTCCACCGGAGTTTTATTCATTTTTAAACGGAAGTGTCATAACTGAGAAGCGGAATTTTTTTACTTCTGAAATCGGTGTTATTTCGGAGTTATATGAAAAGGCCTTTTAAAAAAGCGACGCAAACAAACATTAAAATACTTATTTTTTTTCGATTGAAACTGCAAACGGAAAAATTTATGTGCTACCAAAAGAAGCCTAAGTGGTGATCATTTTGACGATGATCATGCATATGATTCCTTATTCTTAACGTTATTTTATTAATAAATAATTTTATCTTGGGCAGGCCTCACTGAAGACTGAACGGCAGAAGAAAAAGGAACTGTACTTTCCCTTGAGGAAGTATGCTATCAAAGCTTAGAAGAATCAGATCAATAATAATACTCTGTTTCCTTATATTTATATGGAACCTATCCGTTTTCTAAGATTTTGGCACTAAATTTATGGAAATGTATTCCGTTTGAATTTGTTGTTATTAGTTTTGCTTCATTTCAAGATTTTCTTAATGCAGTTCTATTTTTTGCATTGCTACCTTTGTCATTTTAGGTTTCGTTTGGGATGGCTTATTGCTTCTTAAAGAAGCAGTAAGAAAGCCATCCCAAACAAAGCCTTAGTCTATATTTTGAAAGCGACATTGTTAGTCTCAATCATCAATGTCTCCGAGGATTTGTTTGGCATAGCTTTTTCTTTGTTTTATTTTTTTTATACAGCGTTCATAATTTTATTTTGTTATTGCTTTCGTATCTTCTTTAAGAGTTTTTTAATAAATTTTTTGTGTGGAATGTTGTATTTTGCAACAAGAATGGTTATGTTAATTTTCTTGCAACAAGCTTACAACGAATTTTATAAAATGTTTTAGTAAAAAAATAGTTTTACAAATCAACAAGATATGATAGTGGTTTTTTACTATTTTTAAAGTTAATTTTTACTTTTTTGTACTAAAAATTTATTTATAAAAAGCAATAAGAAAGTTTTTTCAAATGAATTTTTAGTTAAAAAAAATATTTCATATGATTTTTATGGCATTACCAATCATTTTGGGTTCTACCATTTTGATATTATTCATATCATTTCAAATGATATATAGAATATAATATAATATAATGTATCATAAATATTAAATTTGTTTGGAATTTGTCAAGATTTCTTCTAGTCTATCTAATTAAGAGTATCATAAACAAATCAATTAATCAAAGAACTTCTACACGCTTCAGTTGCTACAATGAAGCCAGCACATAAGAGATTTTGATCATATTAGGAAGGAATAAAAGAAGATATTGATATAATACGAAGAACATAAGACATGGTTGAAGTTAGGAGATACGCATGATAGAGGACTATCTTTAATATGTCAATTGCTTATTGTTTTAGCCGTACTCCCTTAAAAAGAGAAGACTAGTCATCATGAAATCCGACATAAATTATACTGTGAAAGTTGAGAGTCAAAGTTGATGTTGATGATGTATAAGGATGTCAATAAATAATCCGACTTACTAACTCAACCTGAACCTCCACTCAAAAAGTATGCTTAACAAGTATAACAAAAAGGTCAAGTTCAGGTTGACATGTCAACCTAGTTTTGACCCATTTAAAATTTTATCCATAAATTCTTTTTTTTTTTTTTGTATGATCTCTTTACTTCTGATCAATTATCCTAAAATCTATGCATGACAAGTCACAAACATATATATATATATATATATATATATATAGATGTAATTAGATACAATCCGGCCAATACAGTAAGCCA